AGGTGGGGCCAGCAATCTCTTCTGGAAGTGAAATCTGCAGACTGAAGAAAGAGGAGATAGAGAACAATAGGAGAGGAGTAATGTTGAGCCCCTGGGTTGGGGCTGGGCACGGGCAGTGCCTGGCAATGCTTACTGGGATGAGCAACTAAAATGACTTGGGGAGGATGAGATGGTGGGAAACGGCTGCAGGGGACCAAAAGGAAGCTGAGAGTCCGATTCTGGAAGCATCTGTGGGTTCTATACACACGGGTATAGGGTGTAAGAGACTGCCCAGGAACTGTAAGTTTGTACAGAATAGGGAGACACTGCACAAGCCAGAAGGGGGCACTGGACAAGCCTCTGAGCATAAGTTAGGAACGTAGGTAATACAGAAGATGCTGTCTAGGTTTAACCCTGTCAGATCTTGGGGCTACAGACAGTTGTGAGCTGCCATGTAGGTGCTGGGAATTGAACCCGGGTCCCCTGGAAGAGTAGTCAGAGCCCTTACCAGTGATCTCTTACCAGCCATCTCTCCAGCCTCCTGTGCAGGGACTTGCTACCTTCCAAGGGCTCTTTGTTGTTGCTGTCTGGTGCTGGTTTAGGCTTTCTAAGACTCAGTCTCCTAGAAGGGTTCCCACTGTCCAGTGTGGGACCAGAACTCAAGCCTAGCTCCCTGTCCACAAAGCATGGGCTGTCTCTGCTCCCCAGCCATGCCCTGCCATTGCTTCTGAATCTGCACAGGGCTTCTGACTAAGGAGGGACGCTGGTTACAGGCCTAAAGGGTGGAAAGGTTGACACAGCCTTTTCCCTCAGGGAGGGTGCATGTAGAGACGGATGAAGCTGAGAGTTTGGGGACTAGAGCAGAAGGGGGTTGAATGATGGACACCAGGGGGCGTTCCTAGTGACTATACATTAAGGATAATTGATAACCAGACACAATGGCACAGTGCTATAATCCCAGGTTGGGAGGCTGAGGCAAGAGGATTTTGAATTTAAAGCCAACCTGGGCTGGGAGAACATCACCACAAAAACAAGTGACCCAGAGGCACATACATTTGCAATAGAAGCCTAGCTGAAGCTGAGGGCGGGACCTCCTAGGTTTACTAGGACTTTGTGTCCGATATGTTAAGTTACATGCTAAGCAGTGTTCTGCTCCCACCTTGTCACATAGCATTAGGTGACCAGCTCTCATGTGGTCTTTCCCTCTGTCTAGGTGAGGGGCCTGACTTACTGGTATACAACCTGGACTTTGGTGGGCATCTCCGGATGTTGAAGCGAGTGCAGAACCTGCTTGGCCACTATCTTATCCATGGGTTCCGAGTGCGACCAGAGCCCAAAGGAGACCTTGACTCTGAGGCCATGATAGCTGCATTTGGGAGTAAGGGACTCAGAATTGTGAAAGTTAGCTGGGGTCAAAGCCATCTTCGAGAGCTCTGGCGCTCTAGTCTGTGGAACATGTCCGACTGGATCTGGGATGCACGCTGGCTGGAGGGTAATGTAGCCCTGGCCTTGGGCCACAACTCAGTGGTGCTGTATGACCCAGTGACAGGGTGCATGCTGCAGGACGTCCCCTGCACAGACAGGTGCACCCTCTCCTCAGCCTGCCTGATTGGAGACACTTGGAAGGAACTGACCATAGTGGCGGGTGCGGTTTCCAATGAGCTCCTGGTCTGGTATCCAGCAACTGCATTAACAGATGACAAACCTGTGGCACCTGACCGGCGGGTCAGTGGACATGTGGGTGTCATCTTCAGCATGTCCTACCTGGAGAGCAAGGGCCTGCTGGCAACTGCTTCTGAAGATCGAAGTGTCCGTATCTGGAAGGTGGGCGACCTCCGGGTGCCTGGGGGTCGGGTGCAGAATATTGGTCACTGCTTTGGACATAGTGCCCGTGTGTGGCAGGTGAAGCTCTTAGAGAATTATCTTATTAGTGCAGGCGAGGACTGTGTCTGCTTGGTGTGGAGCCACGAAGGTGAGATCCTGCAAGCCTTTCGGGGCCACCAGGGCCGTGGAATCCGGGCCATTGCTACTCATGAGAGGCAAGCCTGGGTGATCACTGGGGGTGATGACTCAGGCATACGACTCTGGCACCTGGTAGGTCGTGGATACCCAGGCTTGGGTGTCTCAGCTCTGTCCTTCAAGTCCCCTAGCCGGCCAGGTGCCCTAAAGGCTGTGACTCTGGCTGGTTCTTGGCGAGTACTGGCAGTGACGGATGTAGGGGCCCTGTACCTCTATGACCTTGAGGTCAAATGCTGGGAGCAGCTGCTGGAGGACAACCGATTTCAGTCTTACTGCCTGCTGGAAGCAGCGCCTGGGCCTGAGGGCTTTGGACTCTGTGCCTTGGCCAATGGGGAGGGTCTTGTCAAGGTTGTCCCCATCAACACTCCCACTGCTGCTGTGGATCTGAACCTGTTCCACGGGAAGGTTCACAGCCTGAGCTGGGCCCTCCGTGGCTATGAGGAGCTGCTGCTGCTGGCGTCAGGCCCTGGTGGGGTAGTTGCTTGCTTGGAGATCTCAGCTGCACCCACTGGCAAGGCCATCTTTGTCAAGGAACGTTGCCGGTACCTGCTTCCCCCAAGCAAGCAGAGATGGCACACATGTAGTGCCTTCCTGCCCCCAGGTGACTTCCTGGTGTGTGGGGACCGCCGTGGCTCTGTGTTGCTATTCCCTGTCAGACCAAGTCTGTTCAAAAATCCTCGGGTTGGAATCAAGGCTATTACTGCAGCTGAGGCACCTGGAACTGGTAGTGGCAGCGGTGGGTCTGAGACTGTTGTAACAGGGTTAGGCCCGGTATCCACTCTCCGTTCTCTGCATGGGAAACAGGGTGTGACCTCAGTTACCTGCCACGGTGGCTATGTATACAGCACAGGCCGTGATGGCTCCTACTACCAGCTCTTTGTTCATGGCGGTCAGCTCCAGCCAGTCCTAAGGCAGAAATGCTGTCGAGGCATGAATTGGGTAGCTGGGCTTCTCATGGTGCCCGATGGAAGCATGGTCATCTTGGGTTTCCATGCTAATGAATTTGTAGTGTGGAGCCCCCGGTCCCATGAGAAGCTGCATATCGTCAACTGCGGTGGAGGGCACCGCTCCTGGGCCTTTTCTGATACCGAGTCAGCCATGGCCTTTGCCTACCTTAAGGATGGCGATGTCATGCTCTATCGGGCTCTAGGTGGCTGTACTCGGCCAAATATTATTCTCCGAGAGGGTCTGCACGGCCGTGAAATCACATGTGTAAGGCGTGTGGGCACTGTAACCCTGGGCCCTGAATTTGACATACCCAACTTGGAGCATCCTGACTACGTGGAGCCTGGCAGTGAGGGGCCTGGCTTTATTGACATCGTGATCACATGCAGCGAGGACACTACTGTCTGTGTCCTAGCGCTTCCCACAACTACAGGCTCAGCACATGCACTCACATCTGTGTGTAACCATATCTCTTCGGTGCGTGCTCTGGCAGTGTGGGGCATTGGCCATCCAGGTGGCCCCGGGGATTCTCGACCAGGTCTCACTGCTAATGTAGTGTCTGCAGGGGGTCGAGCCGAGATGCACTGCTTCAGCATCATGGTCACTCCTGACCCCAGCTCCCCAAGCCGCCTTGCCTGCCACGTCATGCACCTTTCGTCCCACCGGCTAGCTGAGTACTGGGACCGGCAGCGCAACCGGCATCGGATGGTCAAAGTGGACCCTGAGACCAGGTAATGTGCACGCCCTGTCATGGACATTGATCGAGATCATTGTAGGGAAGCTTTAGGCAGGTATCTCCTGGCTTGTAGGCTCCACCTGACAGCTGTGTTCTCCCTGCAGGTATATGTCTCTTGCTATTTGTGAGTTTGATTCCGATAAGCCTGGCCATGGCCCCCTTGTGGCTGCAGCCTGTAGTGATGGAGCAGTGAGGTAAGCACTTAGGGCCAGCGGTCATATGAGGAGACAAAGGGCATGAGCTCTCCAGGATGAGTTCTGAGATGCCTCCCCGCCCCCAGGCTTTTTCTCTTGCAGGACTCTGGGCGGATTCTGCATCTCCTTGCTGAGACTTTCCACCACAAGCGGTGTGTTCTCAAAGTCCATTCCTTCACGCATGAGGCACCTAACCAGCGGCGGTGAGAGAGGCGGTCCTGTCTAGATTGGGTAGGGGCTCCCGTTGTCTTCCCATCCCTTTCACTGATCTGGCTGCCCTCTCCTGGCTTCCAGGAGGCTGATCCTGTGCAGTGCAGCTACGGATGGCAGCCTGGCCTTCTGGGATCTCACCACTGCCATGGACCGCGGCTCCACTACCCTGGGGTCCCCAGCACATCCTGGGCTTCCCTACCGTAAGTAGTGTGACATCCTTCACCACCTCTCACACAAGATGAAAGCAGGACCCTAATAGCCACTCTCTTTCTCCAGAGCTGGGCACTCCCTGCTTGACCGTCCAGGCCCATAGCTGTGGTGTCAACAGCCTACACACCCTGCCTACACCTGAGGGCCACCATCTTGTGGCCAGTGGCAGTGAGGATGGGTCCCTCCATGTCTTCAAGCTTACTGTGAAGATGCCAGAGCTGGAAGAGGCTGATGGGGAGGCTGAGCTGGTGCCACAGCTGTGTGCCCTAGAGGAATATTCTGTCCCCTGTGCACATGCTGCCCATGTGACAGGCCTAAAGATCCTAAGTCCCAGCCTCATGGTCTCAGCCTCCATAGACCAACGGCTGACCTTCTGGCGTCTGGGGCATGGTGAGCCCACTTTCATGAATAGCACTGTGTACCATGTGCCAGATGTGGCTGACATGGACTGCTGGCCTGTGAGCCCTGAGTTTGGCCACCGCTGTGCTCTTGGGGGTCAGGGACTTGAGGTTTACAACTGGTATGACTGAGTTATCTCAGTGGTTGGAGCACTGAGCATAGGCCTGCCTGTAGACAGTGGAGCAGGGATCCGCTGTCTGCTCATGCTCAGTGAGCTTTGAGGAAGTGAGGCAGTACATAGGTCCTTGACTCGGAGTACTCCAGTATGGTGCCGCGTAGGCGGACCGAGAATATGCCTCACTGTCCACAATGGGATGAAACTATTTATTTTGGCTTTAAGTGTCCAACATTTGTGAGGTTTTGTCTTTTTCCCAGTTGGTGACTTTGTAAACATTCCCAGCTATTGGGCCCTTAGATGTGGCTCAGCGGAGGGAGGCCCAACATAGCCAAGCCTGTGTGGAACACCTCTCGTACTGCCCTCAGAAGCTGTAGGCGGGCGAACATCTGACCAAAGAGGTGTGGCCGAGGTTCCTGAAAGAAAAAAACCAGGCTCATCCTCTTGTTCCCCTCATCCTTACCCTGTGTCCCCTGCGTCGCCCACAGACGCCCTTCTGCTGTATGCTCACCCCTAGAATGTGTACTCGGTTGTAGTATGAGCTGAAATCCATGCTGAGCTGCACCAGGAACTTGCACACCTAGAGACAGAGGTTGAATCACTGAGATGTTGTCTTGTTCTTGTGTCACAACCCAGAATAAAGACTAGTGTGTAGTGTCTGTGCCTCACCGTCTCTGTGCGCACAGGGGTGTGGAGCCCTGGGGTGCTGGCCAGGCTCCCAGTCTGCCTCAGCAGGTCCAGGAAGGGAAGGACACTGTTGAAAAGCAGCAGCCACTCACCCTGTGGGAGACAAGGGTGCTAGGACCAAGCCCTCTGCTTGTGGCCATTTCTTAGGAGGGGCACTCACCTCATCATGGAGTAATGAGAAATCCAGGCTGCTCACGAGTGGAAAGGTGGGATACAGACCTCGCTCCACCCCGTGTTTGTAACCCTCGAAGAGCGTGGCGAGGCGGGCGCAGTTGTACATGACAAAAGTGCCACTCTTCGTGCCCTTCGTGGAGGTGGTGCTGTCGGCCAGCAGGAGCTAGGAGATGGATCCAGCTGTTGAGGGCATGGGCACCACACCGTCCCCAGGCTTAGTACTGTGACATACCCAGGCTTACTTGGTTCTGTGCAGCTGTGCTTAGCATCTCAAATTTGATGGTGGCCACAGAGAGGACATCAAAGGTCTTGGTCCAGGCTGAATCTGGGGGTGAGAGATACAGGCTGGTCAGTGTCTACAGACAAGAAACAAGGACTAGAGGTTTAAATGACCTGCTGGTACTTCAGGGCACAAGCAGGGTCTCCCAGGTATACCTTGTGCCAGGTCCCCACCATGCTTCAGTGCTGAGGCCTTACACACCTGAGCATATCTGAGCCTAGGAAAGAAATCCAGTGAGCAAAGTCCCATTGGAAGCCCTTCCCCACATCTCAGCTGCCCTTGGCTTTGGCTGGTTTGCCTGCCAACTCACTCACTTGTAGTACTCAGGGGCAGTCATCAGGGTGCCAGGTACACCAGCTACTCTCACTGGGCCACAGACCAGGTGCTTCTGTGAGAGAGCGAAAGGGCTCAGTCCAGGTGGCCCTCCCTTCCAGCCTCCGGGGAGCCTGCATCGGTTACTTCTCCCAGTCTGTAATCACCAGTCTCAGTACCTCCTCAAGCCTAGGCCCTCAAGACCCAGTCCACCTTCGTCAGCCCTCATGTCAGCCTTAACCCATGCTCCACAAGCCCTTTGGGTTTTCAAGGGCTTTCAGAAACCTTCAGGGTGGTTTACTTTTGAAAACCAACCTGTTTGAGAGGAGCCTGCTCATCCAACTTTTGCCAAAGCAGATCCAACTTTTGTTGCTGGACTGCCTCCTCACAGCTCACCACGTGCACAACCATGCAGTCATCCACACCAGCGTCTGGATCCCCATCCTGAGTAGAGAAAGAACAGTTATAAAGATGCAGAAAACCAGTTGAGGCAGAGGTCAAGAATGGAGCCACTAACCAAGCCTGGGTCGCCGCCCTCTGGCCAATGGCGCACAGCCTCCTGCAGCTCCGACAGCACAGAGAGCAGATCCTCAGTCACTACAGAAAACAAGAGAGGCGCTAAAGTGCTTGGCAGTGCAGAGGCCCCCCACCCCTGTTTTGGCCACTGTCCTACCCCAACAGTTGTCTATGCTGGTGTCATAGCCAGCTGAACGTCTCTTTTCTACAAGTTCCTTCAGACACAGTCGTCCTAGGACTCCAGGGGGCAGTGTCTCTTTAGAATTAAGTTTTGCTAACACACGGGTCCTCAGGGTTTCGGTTGAGACACACTTCGATGTAGTGGGCCAGTCCACCAGAAGTTTCTGCAGGAAAGTTGCCATGTGCGAATCCCGCACCGAGGGCACTGGACACACACATACCCTACAAATCAAGGGTGGCTGTCTCAGCCTGCGAACCAGGCCCAGATCACCATGACTTCCCACCTTCCGCGTCTGTCCCCAAAGGTTCAGTCTTTTGCCATTGCAGACTGGAGCACGCGCTTACCCATGAGCGCGTAGCGTCCGCGCTAGGTGATCGGCCACGAGCACAGCACGCAGCTGGCTCAGACGGAGTGTGTCCGGGTTGCAGCGCAATGCGGGGCAATGCAGAATAACCCGCGGGCCGGGCGAGGCAGGCTTGGCGGGAGTAGCATAGGAGGCCAGGGCACCGAGCACACGCTCGAAGACCGCGGGCCGCTGTAGCTGGAGCGATAAACCCGCGGGTGTTGACGCGCAGCGCAATACAGGGGCCACCCCTGGACCATGCAGGCCGGCGACCGCATGGAACACGCATTCTGGCACCTGCGGACAGATGGGCGTGTAAGTGGACCCTAATTGGCCTGGAACGGGCTGTAGATCCCTGACCCGCTCACACCCACCTGCCCATCCCTGAAGCGCGCCTGTAGCGCGCTTCGCGGCGCCAAGAAGTCGCGGACACGCAGGTGCCGGGCGTGCGTTTCTTTGAACCACACCGGGCTACCAGGCCCCACAGCTGCGTTAAGGGCCTCCAGTGTCTCCCCAACGCCAAGGCGCCCTGTCGCCATGGCGACCGGAAGAGTGCGCGGAACAGGAAGTAAATTAGCCGTAGAACTTCCGGGAGGTTCGCTTGACTGGGGCGGGGATCCGGCAGTGGACCCTCCAGAGTGAACCAGAGAGCTGGAGCGTGCCGAGTGAGCCTACATTCAACCCACCGCTTCCAGTGTTCCTCCGATGGTTCTTCCTGCATTCGTGAGCCCTACACCCAAAATCTCGGGGTCATTTTTGCGCCTACGGTTTTTTTCATCGTCATCCTTAATTATTAATTTGGTGGTGGGTCTTTTTCACCAGGTGATACACTTGGTCAAAGTTTCATATCTTTGTGCTTATGTGATGTTTCATTTTTTGCCCCATTTAAACAAGATTTAAATGTCAGACAAATGGTCATTGGAATAAGGCTGTATCATTAAAGACACTATTTATTTGGTTTTTCGAGACAGGGTTTCCCTGTGTAACAGCCTTGGCTGTCCTGGAACTAGCTTTGTAGATAGATAGACCAGGCTGGGCTTGAACTCACTGGGATCCACCTGCCTCTGTCTCCCGAGTGCTGGAATTAATGTTGTGCACTACCACTCCCATCTTCCATTAAATTTCCATTAAAGACACTTTACTGCCTACTTGAAAAGCAAAGGAAAAAAAAACTTGAATTCTTTCCGATCATTTGCATGCCTTTCCTCATTAGCGGTATCACCGGTGTGTCTTTATTCCCCATAAAAGAACAACCTGATAGAATTGCACATCTTGATCCTTGAGGAATTAAGTCATAATTTCCAGAATTACCAGCCTTTAATGTTTTTCCTTTAACCTGCTGTTACCGGCACCTTTGATTGTTCTTTAGATAACTGGTCAGTTTGAGACAATTAAACGTGATCATGAGAAGACCCAAGGAATTAGCATACTGTGGGAAAGCTTTCCTCTGTCCAGACGCTTTCATTTCAATGTAACTTAAGTCTCTCCCACTTCCCCCAGCAATGAATGAATCCAACTAGTGAACTTTGCTCCGGAGAAGAGTGAACTCTAGGGATAAGAAAAGTTTGGCAAGGCTCCTCTCTCGGGGCCAGGGCTCTGAGGCCCTGCTTGGGAGGTGCCGAAAGAGCACTGGGCGGACACGACATTCCCGATGGCTTCTTGGGTGCCCACTCAACGGGAGTGATCGTGTCATTCCAAAGCACTTTCCATGCTGTGGGTACAGCTGCTGGCCGGGCTGGGACCCACCGGCAGTTGGTGATTTAAGCTCTCTCCCTCCTTGAAGACGGTTGGGGTGGTTTTTCCCCAGGAAGTGAAGAGCTATCTTTAGCGAGCTGCGGGCTGGGCGGCCCTGTGGGACTCACCGCCATTGCAGCCCTACAGAGAGGACCCAGGACCTCCCGTTAGTGTTCTCCAGGGATTCCAGAGCGGGCCATCAGCCTGAGCACTTTTCGTCGTCTCTGCCTGCCACCATCAGCCTGAGGGTGCACCTGAGAGATGGAGATCAGAATGGCCCAGCAGTGTTTCTGAGGGTAGAGACCGCCTCATCTGGGCCAGGGCGCTGCTCAGGCAGGAGAGCAGGGAACGAAATCCAAGCGCAGCTGGAATGCTCTGGAGACAACAGCTGCTTTTGGGATTCCGTTGCCCGCTGTCCAGCCGTTGGAGGACGGCTCCTGCCCCCAGGTCACTCGCCCTGGGGCCAAACCGGAACCCGCCTATCCCTTTCCAGTGGGCAGACAAGTAGGTGTTGTAATCCAGTCTAGTGAGAATGAGGCGCTCACCTGGGCCCCAGAACAATAGGAGAAGGTGGGGGCCTCCCCCGGGACTAGGTCCCAATCCGGATTAGATCAGAAGGGAAGGATTAGCTCTGTGAGTCCCAAGCAGCCAGAGCCACTGGTACGGTGACGGGGCGGGCTTCGGAATTCGCCAAGAGGGAAGCGATCCCGTGGGACCCGAGAGGAAGTAAACCCACGCGTCCACTAGTGGGACACCCCAAGGCTCGGGGCTCTTTGTCCGGTGACGCTGCCAGCTCACGAAGTGCCTGGGGCCAAACCAGCCCACATAGCAGCGGCAGGACAGCCTCCCCAGAACCCATTGCAACCGGCCCTGCAAGAACCCCATAGCCAAGCCCCGATGGTGTCGAGCATCCCACCCGTCTAGTCCAGCGGATAGAAAACGCGACAAAGTCCTGAGGCCAAGACAGAACCGGTGCGCAGAGATGCCCAAGACGCGCGCCGCCAGCTTGCCCAGTAGGCCCTAGACTCGGCTCAGGACAGGGGGAGGGAGACTCGGTACGCGCAAGCAGAGCGCGCGAGGGCAGGGTGCTGCTCCGGGAGCTGTCTACTTGACGTCTGGTCCGGTTCGGCCCAGTCAGTCCCACCCGAACAGCTACTCCAGCACTGCCACGGCGTGCCCTTCCGCTGGCTCTAGCTGTCGGCAGACTTGGAGCCATTTTAAGGAGAAGCCATCTGGCCACACCCCCTCGCGCTCCCGGGAAGCCAATCCACGCCCGGCCACGCCTCTCCTGGAGCGCCGCGCCGCCGCCAACGGTCGCGCGGGTGACGGTTGGGGCGGGCAGCGATTCGAGCCTAGCTGGGGAAACCTTAGCCACCCGCCCCGCCCACGGAGCCCGAGTCTCCAAAGCCTGGGATTAGGGCCCCGGAGGCTGGCACCACACCCTGGCCAGGTGTTCATAGCAGGACCAGGTGCGCCGCTGCCCCGCCCCGGGCCCCAGGAGCCCCGGATAATGACTGAGAACCCGAGAAACAGGCCGCAGCTGTGGCCTAAACAATACCCCGAGGGCACCCGTGCCAGCAGGTGTCCCCCCCTCCTTAGGGACAGTCGGTGCGGGACTGCCTGGGGCGGGGTGGGCAACAGGTGTTGACACGAGAACCGCACGGGGGACGGAGTCTGCTGAGACAGATGTCGGTGCCCACCGCGCGGGCCAAGTTGCGCAGTACCCTCCGAGACGCAAGGGGCGCTGTGGCCGCGCTGAGCCTCACAGAGTTTCGATCCCATCCCTCCTGCGACCCGGTTACTACGCGCCGTGCAGCCATGGCCACGGCTCTTGCCCTTCGCTGCCTGTACAGAGCGCAGCCTGCGCGGCTCTGTCGCCTCGTCTATCCGCTGTGGTGAGCCCCCCTGCCCCGCCTCTGACCCCCGTCCCTCAGAGTGGTCCAGCCTAGCCACGAGCCGCTGACTTTAGCCCTCCGCAGGACGACCCCGCGACGTGGCCACCGACTCTCTCCGGCGGATGATGAGCTGTACCAGCGGACGCGCATCTCGCTGCTGCAAAACGAGTTTCCTCAGGCCGTGTACATTGACAGCTACAACAGCAGAGGTTTCATGATCAACGGAAACCGCGTGTTTGGCCCCTGCGCGTTGCTCCCACAGACGGTGGTCCAGTGGAATGTGAGCCCCCTCCTGCAGTGGAATTGAAGCCTAGAGCCAGAAGCCGTTCCTCCTAGAAAATTTAACTTTATTTAGTATCGCTGTGGGTAAAGGCTGTGTCGACTTGACATGCTGAATGGCCTCTTCTCCCATACAGGTGGGGTGCCATCAGGATATCACTGAAGAGAGCTTCTCCCTTTTCTGGATGCTGGAGCCTAAAATAGGTATGGGTGTAGGTAGGGCTGTGTCCTAAGAGGCCTACTTCAGACCCTCAACACATGGTTGTCTCCCCTTTCTTAGAGATTGTTGTGGTGGGCACTGGAAACAAGACTGAGCGGCTGCACCCCCAAGTACTACAGGCCATGAGGCAGCGCGGCATCGCTGTGGAGGTGCAGGATACGGTAGGTCTTGAGACGTGGAAATCCAGCCTAGCTCAGGCCTACTTATCACTGACATACTAATTCTGATGTTTTCATTGCAGCCTAATGCTTGTGCCACTTTCAACTTCCTGTGTCATGAAGGCCGAGTGACAGGAGCTGCCCTCATTCCCCCTCCTGGAGAGACTATACTCCCCTCTTTGGGTCAAGCTGCAGAATGAAACCTCAGAAGAGTCAAGGAGGGCACTGGCACTTTGCAGAGTGCAGGGACGCCCAGTGCCTTCCCAACCCTTTGCCTTTGGGCACTTTCCACACTGTCATGCATACCAAGAATAACAACTTATACTTCTACATACAAATAAGTCGTGTTGCTGGGTATGTCTGCTGACTGGGGGTTTGGAAATGTAAGGGTTAATTGTCTTCAGACAATGTAGGATTCTGTGTCCTCCCCCTCCCTCCGGGGGTTCCCTACTTGCAGATTCAAGGAGACCACAATAGCTTTCCTGACTTTTGAGCTAGAACTAACTAGTTTTCACATAGTACATTTATTTCATAAACCCAATGTTCTGCCACACAACATCTGTGATGGTGGCTGTAAAGTTCCATGTGCCTATTGAACTCAAAGATTAATTGTCACTTTTTTCCCAAAACTTTTATTGAAAAATTCAAGGCATATACTGGATCTCTTCAGAAAAGCCGCTTCTCATACCTGTAGGCAGAGACCACCTGTGAGCAGAGCAGGAAGGAGGGTCTAAGGCTGGCAGAAACGCCCACCCAAGCATAGGGCACTTACGAATGAAGGCTGTGGACACCACCTTCCACCTGAGCTGAAGATGTTCTCTTCTCAAACTTCAGCTCCCCAGAGTACATCATGGCTCTGTGGAGAGGCAGGGATTAGATGCAGACAGTAGCTGCCTGTACCACTCCCTCTAGTCAAGCCCCAGCTACCCATGCTCACCGGACTTGGGTTAACCGCCTGGCACCAATGTCCTGACAGGAATGCTGGATGCCAGCAATCAAGTAAGGGACGAACTTGTGGATAGACCCTTTGTCCTGCACAGCTCCTGAAACTCCTTGGGCCACTTTGATTTTGTCAGCTTCACTGTTGGAACAGGCAAAGAAACGGGCAACGTTGCCACAGGGATGAAACAAAATGCAGGGTTTGCTGGGGTGTCTTTTTCCTGTCCTACCTGAAATATCGGTTCTGGCTGCTGAGATGCTTGTCCATGGCATCAAGGGAACCCATACCACGGTACTTCTTCAGCCGTATCCCATCTGAGAAGAAGTATTCACCAGGGGCCTCGGTGGTAGCAGCCAAGAGGGAGCCCATCATGACTGGGAACAAATAAGCAAGCTAGGGAAGAATCTGATCAGTACAGAAGAGGGGATACCACCCAGCCCGAAGGTGATTAAGCCTCACCTGTAGAAGCCCCAAGAGCCAAAGCTTTGGCAATATGACCCACATTTTGGATCCCTCCATCAGCAATAACAGGAACACCAAAGCGCCGAGCATACTCAGAAACCTTGTAGACAGCTGTTGCTTGGGGCCGCCCACAGGCCAACACTGTTGAGAGATGGAGGAACAGAATGTGTGATGCTCGGGTGGTATACACTCTCAGGACCCGGAGCTCCGAAAGACGCCTATACCAGGTCAATAGCTGACAGAGATGTGTGTGGAATGGTTGCTACTCATCTGCTTTCAATAGGCTGGCTTTGCCTCTCTGCGTGTGCGCACAAGTGAGTAGGGCTCAGGGCCCAGTGCAGCCTCAGGCACATGCAGATTATAGCAGCCGGGAAGCCCCGCCCAGCTGGTATCAGATAGGGAGAGTAACCGTGCAGTTAGTATCCAGAGGCACAAAGTCAGGTCTAGCCCTTCCTGCACAGTGGGCAGCTCAGGCAAGATGAGGGCAGTGGTAAAGTAGAACAGAGCAGGCTCAAGGCTGGAGCCATGCCTACTGCAGAAAATGTGGGCAGAGCAGGGCCTGCCTCGGGAAGGAGGTCCTGCTCTATGAGTGCCCTAGGAAGGAGCTGTGATCTCAAGCAGCCCCCAAACCATGGTCTGTACATCTGTTTGCCCTGCCCCCCAACAGCACCACAAACCCTGGGAGCTACAGCTACAGTCAACCAAGCAGTCGGGCAGTGGGCAGCTGGGCCGGGCCAGTGCGCCGGGCCGGACTTACTATAGCAGCCCTTGACAGTGGAAGGGCATTTGGGGCTGTGGGACTTTATGTCTGGTGGGATCTTGGGAGCCGCTAAATAAAACAAACAGACCAGAGTTTAGAGAGGGCACAGAGCAGGAGCAAGGAGGCCAGGCTAGGCAAGGAGTGGCAGGTGAGGGATGACAAGAACTTGTCTTGCTTCCAGCCATGTCACCCATCCAAGAGGCCCGTGTGGCCTTAGAGTTGCCCATGTTGGAGGACTCAAGTGTAGTTCCCCTAAGAGCCATTGGCCCCAATCAAAGCATAATTTTACCTTCCTGGGTAATGCAGATGGAACCACATCCCATGCCAACTCGTAGAGCATCCACACCAGCGTCTATGAGGTTCTTGGCTTGAGCAGCAGTGACTACTACAGGGAAATAGAAGGATGATGAGGTCCAGGTGGGAAGGGAGCGCCAAAAAAACAAAAACAAAAAAACAAAAACAAAACAAGACAAAAAAAACAAACCACCTTACCCACCAGGGCCATATTCTCTTACCATTGCCTCCAATGACTTGGAGATTGGGGTATTTCTCCTTGATGTATTTGATCATATTGATTTGGAAAATAGAATTTCCCTGGGAAGAATCCTAGGAGAAGAAGAAGTTCTAGCTACACCATGATATGGCAATCGTCCCTACAGGCCCACCCTACTTCTGTTGTAGCTTACCAAAACCACGACGTCCACACCGGCGAGGGCCAGTAAGTCCAGCCTATACTTGTCATCCTCATGAGTGCCAATGGCCGCCCCACATAGAAGCTGCTTTTTGGCATCTTTGGAAGCAAGTGGGTAATCACGGTTCTTCTTCAGGTCTGTCCGGGCAATGATGGCTACCAGCTCATCATTTTCATTCACAATGGGCAATTTTCCTGAAGACAAGACAGGACCCTGATTATTTCTGTGCCCCTTCCCATTTTCAGGACTGCCCCCCACGACAGGATTCCTCTCTGTAGCTTTGGAGTCTTGCTCTGTAGACCAGGCTGGTCACACATAACTGCCTCTGCCTCCTGAGTGCTGGGACTAAAGACTTGAGCCACCACCGCCCTGCAGGACTCACCCTTTTTACTGCGCTGCAGGATTTCATTTGCCTCCTTCAGAGTGATGCCTGCAGGAGCTACCACCAAATCTTCCCTCTTTGTCATGATCTAGATGAGTCATGAGGATGGACAGTCAGACTGGGACCCTCCCTTTCCCTCAGACCATACAATCAAAGGACCACCATGATTGCATCCTGCCCCTCCTACTACTGATGGGCACTCAGTAGTCATGACACCATTGAAATTAGTGTTGCTTGAGTAAGAACACAACACATGAGTAGCCTCTCATGGAGAAGGAAAAACCACACAAGAACAAAGAAAACCAGAAAGATACTCAAGAACTAGCTTTTTTAATGGGATAAAAAGCATGAATGCTAACAGACACTTTGTCACCAGAGTCTCCACAGGGAGAGGGGATGTAGAAACCTCACGAAGAAGTTAGAAAGCATGGCCAGGTGTTTTTTTGTGGTCAGAAAATGAGGCCATCAGTAATTCACACAGGCAAAAGAAACTGCCTTCCTTTAGCCTGGGTTGTTAAACCTTGGTTGTTTTATGCTAATGGCACCCACCTCTTCCAAGAAACGATCATGCTCTTCCTCCTTGAGAAAATCGATATCCCTTGAAGAAATGATGCCCACCAATCGACTCCCCATCCGGCCTGTATCCGTGATGGGGATACCACAGAAGCCATGCCTGGCTTTGGCCTCAAAAACATCCCGTACGCGATCCTTGGGGCTAAGGACCACAGGATCAGTGATGAATCCCTGTTCATATTTCTGGAAGAGATGGTGAAGTCATTTCACCTTTGAAATCACTTTCATCAGCCTCCTGATGTAAACCATAAGGTCCATGCCTAACTGTCCTTTATGGCAATACCACAGAACCAAATCAACTCCTCTAATAAGGATATGGAGTGCACTAGCTCAAGAAATGGGGTCTTCGGTCTTTTCCCTCAGTAACTGAACCCCACAGTTGGAAGAAAGGACCCTCAGTTGGCAGAACAAACCCTCCACTCCCACCCCACTCCACTCCACCTCTGTGTAATTCCCAGGAGATCCTGGCCACAATCCTTGCCCTTCTGACCTTCACTTTCCTGACTTCATTGGCCTGGAATTCGGGTGTACAGTTGTGGTGGATGAAACCAATGCCTCCTGTAAGCTACAAAATGAACACACAAGTAGGCGATGAATAAGAGGCACAGGATTTGGCAGAGATGGCACCCTGCCTTGCCCTCCCATGACCCTCCAGGCTCACCGCCATTGCGATTGCCATTCCAGCCTCTGTGACAGTGTCCATAGGTGAGGAAACCAATGGGGTCTTCAGTGTGATCGTCTTAGTCAGAGCGGAGGTCAAATCCTGAGGAGATAAAGAACCACTAGAGATAAACACTGTTTATTCCTCAGGGTCCATAAAATGGCCCTGGCAACCTGCGTGCTCACTCAAAAGACCATTCCCATTTCCATTCCCATTTATTCTACCTTACTCCCCAAAGCCCATTCTGGTGTAGCTCACATTAGCAAACCACATCACCACCTGGGTGTGATGATGCCTTTAATCCCAGCACTCGGGAGGCAGAGGCAGGCGGATCTTTGAGTTTGAGGCCAACCTGAACTACAAAGAGTTCTAAGACAGCCAGAGATACACAGAGAAACCCTATTTTGAAAACACCCAAACAAAACAAAAAAATAAACAACCAATCAACCAACTGCACCATCCTCCCTGATGTTCACAACCCAATTCCTAGAAAAGGCATAGTGGAACATGCTTACTGTAATCTCAGCATTCCCTCAGAACTAGTCGACACTAGTTCGGGGTCAGCCTGGTTAACCTACGTAGTTTCAGATCAGCCAAAGTTATATAGGGAGATGATCTCAAAAACAAAATAGAAAAGTCCCAGCCCATTATTTTACTCACCACTTCATCCGCAGTGAAGTCGATATACCCAGGAAGAATGAGAAAATCGCTGTAGAGGGAATTAGGCAGGACTCTCAGGCTACACCAAGAGAATCCAACTCTATCCCATAAAGCTCTGAGCTGGGAGCTCTATCGACCCCGTGTGCCACAGGCAAGATGGCACTGGGTGGATTATGGACAGGGAATTTTCTGTCACTGAGCTAGCTAG